CTGGAACATTTCTCTCATTCACTCCACAATCTTGGATGAGTGAGAGGCTTGATATATCCATCTTCTACAACATTTCATGCTCTCATGTCACTTGCTGAATGAAATACATCATCCTATTCTTCCAATAGGCATAGTTAGCTCCATTGAAGAAAGGAGGCTTGTTGACGGGCATCGAATCGAGACCGGAGTCGAATCGAGACCGGAGTCGACATTTGAAGTAAAGGCCATTGCTACTTAATAATCGATGTAACTCTTCCCGAATCAACTCAAGAGGTGATTAAACATTCAAATGATGCTCTGATACCAATCGTTGAGTTAATCGATCGACGGAATCGGCCAAGAGGGGGTGAATTGGCAATTAAAATTTTGGTGGAAGCTTTTGCAGAAAATTGAAAGTAATTGCACATCGATTTAGAGTGGTTCGACTTTCTCAATCAAAGTTTACGTCCATACCTTAGCTATCCACACTAAGGATTTTCCAACAAAATCACTAATTTGTTCTTTCTTTTGAGGCCAAAGAGATAACCTTACAACCTCAAGAATATACCCCAATTCTTGAGAACACTCTTTCTCAAATAGAATATTATAAATTTGCAAACTTACAAGGAAATCCTCACAAGGTAGATTGTTTGCACAATTCTAGAACAAAGAAAAGAACACTAAAAATGAATACAATTGAGTACAAGTAGTGTTCTTGAAAGCAAAATGAATTTGAATGAAAAATAGGCTTGAAATGCTCAAACTTGAGGTTTGATGCTTTCTCTTTGATTCTCTCTTGATTCTTGTTGATTGTTGTTTCTTGTTATTGATCAATGGCTTCTAAGCTTGTTTAAATACACCTTCAAATGATTCTGAACGTTGGGGATGCTTAGTGGAGTCAATAGAGTCGTATAAGTGTGAAAACAATTAATTAAAGCAGTTGGGAGCGTCGGTGCATCGATGCATACCCATGGTGCATCGGTGTATCAGTAAAATTCAAATATTTTAACCGTTGGACCCTTAGTGCATCGGTGCACTAAGAGTGCATCGATGCATCAAGTGCATTCGATGTTTCAAAATAGCCAGAGTGCATCGATGGATCAAATGCATTCGATGTTTTCATAAAATCCTCAGTGCATCGATGCATGGTATGTGCATCGATGCATGAAATGCATTCGATGTTCAATTTAATTCATGGTGCATCGATGTATGGATTGGTGCATCGGTGCATCACTTGATAAATTGATTTTAGGCTTGATTTTGGTTCAAAATACTTTATGAAAATTGTTTTAAAAATAGTTTAAGTATAAAACACAATTTTACACTTTAGTAAGGTTTGAATTTGAACTTGAAAAACTTGGAGTAATTTGATATCCAATTAATTAAATCAAGTATACTTATAAAATCATTTGTAAAATCTTAAAATTCATTTAAACTTAATTTGTTATATTGAAACACAAAATGTTTTCAACAGATAATAGCTTGAAACCTAAAAAATCCAAATTTAATATTAACCTAAATCAAAATTTACACAAACAAATCATAAAGTGATACAAACTTAAATTAGATTTGACTTTAAAAATAATAATAAAAGTAATGCTTATAACCTTAATTGTTAATTTATTTTAATTTGTAACTTGTGAATTATAATTATCATTTTATTATGGTTATAAAATAGGTAAATTTTGGCTTTATAATACTTTTTAATATCAAATTGCAAATGAAAAAATAGCAACACTTAATAAAAGATATATATTATCTCCCTGTTTATGAGAAAATTATAAATAAACAAATGTCAACAATGATTTAGTTTATCTGGGATCGTTTGATTTATGAAATGTAAGATTACATTTGAAAATAATATTACTTGAATGTAATATCACTTTGAAAATGGTTTGGACAAATTTAGCCCCTCTCAAAGTGGAAGCCTTTGTATGGAAAGCAGTTCAAAAAAAAATTGGTTAACTACATGATTGATCGTTTTCGTTTATGTTTTGTCTATTTTTCCTCATCAGTTTAAAAAAACATAATATATGGCTACTTTCGATTTTATTTAATTAAGATATTGTCAATGAAAGTTGATTGTTGTTATATCTTTAAAGGATTGTTGATGTGGCACGTTAGTAAAAGGGTTTAATGAGGTTTGCCTTTTCCTTTAAAAAATATTACTTTGAACGTGTTGTATTACCTTGTTTGTTTATTTAGCGTGAATGTAAGATTACAATGTTTAGTTGGAAAAATATAAGATTACTTCTGTTCAAAAAAATATACATAAGGTTACTTGAATGCATATTTTACAAAATTATCCTTATGATTTCAACAAATTTAAATTTAATACTAAATTATAAATATTTGAATGAAAAATTATAAAAATATTTTAATTATTATAATATCTAATTTTTGAAAAAATGCATTTAACATATAATTAATATAATTTGTTATCAAACTTATATTTTAAATAATTTCATAAGTATCATATTTATTTATATAAACATAATATAATGAAAAAATTAGTGGACAAATATATAATTTTTCAATGTATAAGATCCAGTTTTAATAACTCAAAGTTAAATTATTATTTTAAATTATTATTTTTTATAATAATGTCATTTTTACCTCATAAAATTATAAAATGATTAATATATTAAATATTAAAATAAAAAAATAATTTTAGCTACTCAAATTTGATAATATGTTACTAAATTAAACTCTTTGTATATTATTATTATGTTTATAACTTTGAGTAAAAAATAAAGAATGAGAATTGAAAATGATCTATATAAAAAGAATTCATTATTTTAGGGTTATTCTTATATAAAGTGATTGGAATTATATAATACCTAAGTATTTGAAGATAATGACATTCACACCATTTTAATTAAAAAATACTACTATTAATAATAAGTTATTACCTCATAATGATATTTTCTACAAACTAAAAATAAAGATATAATTTTAAAAAATTTATTCACTTTGATAATAATATTTTATGTGAACCAAAATATCTCAATAAAAAATGTTTAATACAAAAATAAGTATCAAAACTGTCTCGAAAAACATTTTAACGCTTAAAGAAATTTTTGTTAAAATATGTGCTAAATTTTTCTCAGTTATACTTTTAAATATCTATGGTTATGTTTTTTTAATTTTTAAAAAAATTTAATAATAAAAAATTATTTTAAAAAAGCTTAATTTATTTATAAAAATATCCAATTTTTAATGAAACTATAAAAAATATCTAAAAAACTAAAATATCTCATTTTAACCCCTATTATCAATCGTCGTTTGTCATCTCCAACCGCCATCATCGTCGACCACTTGGGTTTTGATCGGAATTACACGACGATTCGAATGGTGGTGAAGTGTGGCATATGGACGTCGGGATCGACCAGAATCGACAAAAAAAATGACGATGGCTTAAAACCGAACGAAGCTTTGAACGTTTTTCCATAGAAAACGGTGGCAGTTTACGAATAAAGGTCAATAGGGTTTGCTCGGGAGTCGACGTCAATGTTGATGAATGCGACAGTGACGGTCATGACTGGTCGATCGGTGATTATAGAAGGAGGAATTGGAAAGGGAAAAGGGAGAAGACGCACGGGTTGGGCTATTTGGTTTTTTAATAAATAAATTATCAAAATGTGACATGTGTCACTTAATGACCAAATTTAATGGCCGTTACGATCCAGACACCTAAAAATCTACGATGAAAACATTATACACCTATTATATTTATATATATATATATACGCAAATTTAAAAAAATAAACTTAACATGTTTTTAAAATAATATTAGCACCCTTAAACATAAAATTTCACCTATTAATAATTTTCATCCATTTGAAAAAAATTCTTCGTACAATTTCTAAATTTGACACCAAAAATAAATTTTCTTTAAATTTAACACCAAATTAACTTTTCTAGCTTTGTTCTTATAGGCATTAAAATATTTTTCGAAATAAAGTACAGTGACTTATTTTGTATTAAGCCATGAAAAAATATGGCGTTGAGGTCGAAACATGGATGTGTACATGGACAGGACACGTGCTTTAACTATTCTATCTTTAAGACCACAGAAGTGCCAAGTGGTATAATTAAACAACACGTGTCATACATTTCATGAATGACTTTTAGAACTTGAACTTTCATGTCTGATCCTCCTCTTTCACATCCATCCCCAACTAGGCAGCGGCGGATCAAGATTGAGTTTATGTGAATTTTTTTATAATTATTTATTTATTTTATTAATTTTATTTACTTTAAAATTTTATTTATATTTATTTATAATATTATTAATATATGTATGTCCAACAAAAAAATTATTTATTCTGTCACTACAACTAATGGTATAGAACTAGAGATAATTATAAAAAAATATTTATTTATAATCTTTTAGTTATTGAAACACATATACATATACACACAACTACTCGAATCATATACCTTTAAACAGAACAATGTTCTCCTTAATCAATGAATTACTTGATAGGTCCATTCATTACAGCTTTTAATACTTTAATAATTGAATCCATTCAAAATGGTTACAAATAATCACAAAATCTTACAGTATTTAAATATTGTTAATTAAACATAAAATTTTTATTAAAAATATTTAAACATTGTAAGATTTTGTGATAATTTGTAACCATTTTGAATGGATTCAATTATTAAAATATTGAAAGCTGTAATGAATGAACATATCAAAGTATTTTATTGATCACAATTTATTAAAAATATTTATTAAGCCTCTGGTATCTTTTAAAATTTTAATTAAATTCTCATAGTTTTTAAAAAGTTTTCATCAAATCTTTCAAAAACATTAGTTAAACCTTTAAAATTTTCAATTAAATCTTCAAACTATTTCATCAAAATTCGCTATCATTTTTATTATGAAATCGAAACAGCTCTGAATCCAAATACCACATGTAATATTAGTAATTACATTTGAATCATGAATGAAGCATACCAAATAATACTTTAATTTATAGTAATGAAATTAATGTAGAAAACTTTTCATATTTTCCCAGAAATCCCTTTGCTTACACTTGAATCTGAAATGAAACCCCAAAACATCAAGCAATCCTAGAGAGAGAAGAAGGCAGGGTTGTTAGAGCAATGCCTTGACAAGGTTTTGCTAAGCAACATTTCATGGTTGTAGGGTTCACTTGAATGAACATATAATTCCCAGCGAAAAGATCACCAAAATGAGCTTGACTCTCCTTCAATCTCTTCACCAGCTTCCCAAACGAAACCCTAGCAACCTTCACTTTCTTCCTCAAATACCTCTTCAGGCTTGGAACCTTAACCCTGAATCTCTCTTGACTGACACCCTTCGTAGCCTCGGCCATGGCCTTGATTTCCCTGTAAATCTCTCTGCAAATCCATCGTCTTCGACCTCATCACGCCCTTTCTCATGCTTCAGTCTCTGGTAAGAAAACTTGGTAGCCGAGGCCATTCCAAATGGTTTTACTTTGGGGATCTTGAAAAAGCTGAAATGATTGGAAACAAGGGTGGGTGGGTAGCTACTGCCTTCCAATTAAGCTTGTAATAACTCCATATTGAAATGTAGATGGTTGGTTTCGCTATAACAGTTGGACTGCATTCAATGCAAAGGTATAGGTTGGCGGCTTTTCTCCATCACTTTTTTCTCTCTTATTTTAATAATTAAAACTTCAAAGCTTTTACGATTTCATTTATATTTTAATTTATTTATATTTTAGTCACGTTAAATCATAAATGAAAGAATGATATAATAATCATATGTACTTATATGATAGAATTTATGTGTTATTCACGTCATTTTCTATTTTATCTTCTTCATCTAAAAATGAAAAATTTATAAAATTTTATCTAAATGAGTTTAAAACTCAACCCTAAACTTAAAACTTAAACAATTATGTTATATAATATTCACCGTCCAATGAGTGTGGAATCAAGATATACGACTCATTTTTCACCTCAAAATCATTGAAATTTTGGATAATTTTATAATTGACATAATGTCAAAATTAGCCTTCCAACACTTATCAAAATAATAATTCTAATTCCTTTTTTTTCGTTTAACATTTTAACCTCACATGTTCCAATTTAGGATAAAAGATCTTTAATGTTAGATCGAATAGTCACTTTGACTCTTATTTTTTTCTAGAGCATATTAACACTTAATGTTTCATTTTATGGTAAAAATATCTCTATTTTGGAGCGTTGACAATTTATTAACTATGGGTTTTCACCCCATATCAGAGTCTTTTTGTTGCAAAATAAAATTAGGTGCTAAAAATTCTAAAAATAGAGATTAAAGTGACTATTTAATCGAACATTAAAGACAGATTTTAAATATTATGCCTATATAATTTTTAAGTGAAAAATGTTTAACCATAACATCGTTAAATAAAAGTTTATACTTTAATGATAAATATAAGAATGAGACAAAAATTGAGTAAAAAAAATTTGCAATCTGCATTGTTTTTTCTAATTGGAAAAAAGCTCAAAAGACCATTACATCAATCGGGAATTAACTACGGGATCATGTAAACGTTTAGGGTAACAATTCTGTAATAAATTAGCAACAGCTTCAAAAAATAACAAAGATTCATCAAAAGGATTTAATAAATTTGATAAGACCATCAATAATCATGTTTATTTTCCATCGAATCAATTGGAAATCAACTATAGACTCTCTCTCATGACCGTGCAATTATAAATAGTTCAATAAATTTAATGACTATTTTATAACTTTTGAATAATTATTAACCAAAGTAATCATTTAAACAAAATTCAATAACCTGTTATACATTTTACCAATTTTATAACATATGACAGACAATAAGATAATAAGTTGAAAAGAGCAGGAAGAAATGAAATAATCGAATTTCCAAATGTACAAAGAATTCAAACCAAAGAATGGACAGAAAGGATGATTGGCTTTGACCTATCACTACTTCATTTTCTCAATAACAAACCAAACCATGAATGATGGGGTAAACACTGTTTTAATTCAAAAGTAGAGCTTTATTTTGGTTTGGATCGGACTTCGGCATATCGGACACGTTTGGAGGTCCTTCGCGCATTCTTCACAGGTCTGAAAGAACAAAGATAAAAGGGCAGTATTATGTCAGCATCTTCATCTACGATTACCTACACCAATAACCGATTACGACATGTTTACCTGATGTCCGCAACCGAATGCCATGTCTTTCGTGTTACTAAGGCAAATGACACAAAGCTGTTCAAATCAATCGCAAGAGAATATAAATGTTAAGCGTTCGGATGAATCATCATATATGCAGTTCACGATCTTTAAGTCTTTGCTCCTTCAGAATTTCGGATTGAAAGTTGAACGCAAAGGCGATTTATCATTAATAGAAAATACAGGCCAATCGATGTTTTAAAATTTTCGTACCTGGTTATCATAGGTAGAACTCGGGGCTGGGGGAGTTGGGCTGTGGATATTACCATCTTCCGGATAAGGCGGGACGCTTGGTGGGAATCTAGTAGAATGGGACGGTTTTGAGCTGTTGAAAGATGCTGAACCATGTTGAAGACTGGTAGAACGGGACGGTTTTGAGCTGTTGAAAGATGCTACACCATATGTAGGAGGAGGTAAGGGAAATCTCTCGGGAACATTTCCCTTTCGACCACTGCACAAATAAATTGAAAATCAACATCAAACTTGAAGTCATTAAAGGGTAAGACATAAACCTTTAAAAAGGCCAACATGGAACGAATCATTACCCCAAAATATTAAGCTCAATGGTTGCTTTGTACTGTGAAGGAATCTCCATTAGCGCGGCTAGAGCAAATTCCGTCTCCATCCGGGATGGGGATGTATTCTTCGACAATCTCCGTGAAATTCACAAACTAGAGTAAAAGGAGGATAAGAAAACCGCAGTGATTGAAGCATATAATGATAATACCATTGGAACAAAGACAGTAATATTGAACATTAAACTTTTTGTATGCAACTCAGAGTTTACCTGAAATTATCAAATGCTCGAGCAGGAATGTTGTCGTCAAACTCCTTCATCATATCCCAGGGTCCATCTCCAACACAACCAATATAATCGACAGGAAGCTTGCTGAAATATGAGAAACAAGTAAGAAAGAAAGCGGTTGCACCGAGAAAGAGAAAAAGATATTAAATTATCGAATGCTTGAGTAGGATGTTACCTTGCTTGCACTATGGCATCAACAGTTTTTGCTCTTGCGGACTTAGCTGGCCTGCTGAGTATCAACGCTTCTAGTTACCTAAAACAAACATTAGTGTTAGTGATTAACCTATATGAGACCTTCATGTCAGCATGCTTTATTCATATTATTCCCGTACCAACCCTTAACTACACAAGTTACTTTCTGCCCCTTTTTATTTCAAGAAAGTCTCGAAACTAAGTGAAGTAACCCACCAAAGTGAGAAAAACCTGACCATCAGCGATTATCACTAACACGTGGTACTGGCCACTGCTCTGCTCAACATGGTCATTGCCATTTCAATGATAGGAGCAATGTAGGTCCTGGAAAGAATTGTAATAATTATTTTGATCACATATGCATCAAGGTAACTACGAATAAGGATAAAACACAAGAGATAAGTAAACCTGCAAGTCGTATGTGGCACAATTTCTCTATACGGCCTAAGACTTCCTCGATCCATTACAAAATCGTCATCCGGGTAGAAACTAAAGACATCTTGATCATGTGATGCGGCAAAAATACGAGTAATTCTTACATCTGCATTCAATAAATAGCATTCTCGTATGTAAAACAAATGAAACCCTACCATCACGAATCCAAAGCAAGGAATTAAATTATCCTCATCAAAGGCAGCTAATGTTTTCCCATAATTATATGCTTGTTCGTAAGGATTTAAACCATCTCCAATGTGGTGCAAGCTTTTTCTATTGAATGATATTTCCCTACAAAACAAGCTTGATTAAGTAGATTCCAGTACGGCAACAACATAGATTACTCCTGGAAATTAAGATAGTTGAGCTTAACCTGTCCACTCATTGCTCTTTGTGAAATCAATACCGACAATGAGATTGGAAGATTCAAGACCAGCTTTAGCAAGAGCCTCTGTAACCTGTAATCAATCGATTAAGCAACAATTACCGCATCATTGTCCTGCATAAGGATAACGCATAAACTAATATAAAAACTAATAATATCGAAAGTAATGTAGATATAAACCTGATCTAAGGAGTTGTAATTGTCCGCAATTCTTGAATACCTCCGGTCTAGTGTCCTTTTATCACTGCCACGGTTTTGCGAAGGTGGATAATACTGCAGCTCAGGTTGTGATGGAGGATAATACTGTGGGGAGGCATAGCTATACTGCGGCACATAATGGGGACTTTCTGATCATACAATGACTGAGTATTGCTGTTACGAAATCCCATGATGAATTCTGCCTCTGATTCCCTTCCTTTGAACTACTGCCTCCCATCAACTTAAATATCTATAGAAATTCCCAATTTGTTACAAATATCGATTCCTTTGTCCGCAAATGAATCAAAATCAAAAATTTCAGCCCAAATACCGGATAACCTAAAAGCCAGATATAAATGCACAACCAAGAAGCAACCAGAGAATCACAATTAAGGAATGAAATCACCAAAGAAACTTCCTGAAATCTTCTACAAAACCCTCTTCTCCTTTTCAACTATATCGATACGGCACACAATATCAATCTAAACCAAATCAATATCAAACAGAAAACAAAATATATATATTATATATAAGAACACCAACAGATAAAAATGGAAACCCCCAAAGCAAGCATCAATATATATACATTGAAACGATATATACTATTGGACTTTCCTAGAAACTTCAAATTTCCTTCTTTACCAAAAACTCAGAGACCATCAAACGTAAGCTTCTCCATCACTATCTTAAAACAAGGAAAGCCTTCCTTGCTAAGTATATTTCCCAATAAGTTACTTCCTTGGACTTATATTACACCAAGACTCAACCTAAATGAATTAAAGAATCAGAACAATCATATATATATCATAATAAAGACTTTATTACCAGCAAAGACAAAACTTAAATTCACTTTCAAGAAAAGTAAACGGTGGCTGCGGTCACGAAACGCCAAAAAAACACCGCTGTTTCGTATCAACAGAAAAGCCATGAATTCTGAAAGAGACCCTTTTCTGTTGGCGGCTGATAATTGGTTAAAACTAAAGAGAGATTGAAAAATAGCGCGTTCTCAAGATCTGAAGTGTGAAAGTAAACAAGAATTGAAACTGGGTCGAGTCTAGAAGGGGAATTACAATACCTCTAATTGAAATAGGCAAACTTGCAGAGCATCATGGGGGATCTGAGTATCTTTCATTGCCTTCAAATTTGAGATAAAATGTTGAAAGAGAATGCAAAAGTGGGCTTGCTTTTGAAAAGTATACCTTTTTATCTGGATGTTTTTTATTAATGAAACTGCGAAATGGACGTCACATGGAAGTCGCTGGATTTACAAGTTCTTTGTGTATCCGTGACTAGATATCACAATCCATCGATAATCATTTTGGTTTTTTTGGATTAGGATGATAATTATAATGTTTACGGATATTGGTCCTCTTATAAATTTAAATATTTTGAATTTATATGTTAAAATTATTATTTATTATAAATTTAGAATAAAAATAGATAAATATTATTAACATTCATTCACGTGTCACTTTAGGTATTACATTAAAAATTATATATATTTTGATAAAAAAAATCGAGGTGTTAATGAAAAACTGGATATTTTAAGTATGATTTTGTAATATTCTATAAACTCGTTTAGTGACCAAAAATAAAATGAAAATCATGGTCAAGTGTAAATTTAGAAAAAGTTTAAGAACTAAAATAATAATTTTCCTAAAAGTAAATTTTATCTCGCAAATAAATAGTTTACTCCAAGAATTTGATTTTAGTATTACGTGAATTTTTTATATAGAAATTATGTTAAAAGCTACAAAATGTTAAAATTCAAAAAAAAATCAGATAATCGGGATAAAAATTTGGAATTTTTTGTTAGATAGTAGAGAAAGGGCAAAAATGTCATTTCCTATGTCCAATAATACTAGGATCTAATATGGGCCGAAAATATTACAAGCAGTGGTAAAATCATGGCAAATGTTTTTGAAGTAAATTTAAGAATTAAAATATAAAGGAATAATAAATAATAATCCATCTACCATTATGAAGCAAGGGTAGATACTATGGCTTCAAACCAAGTTGAAGGCCTTTTATATTGGGATGAAGCAAGCAAAAGCCTCACATATAGTGTAACAGCTTCTTAATTTGAACAGATATCGACTGATCCGAAATAAATGAGTGGGGGTAACATTTCATCCCTACACCTTAATTCGGTTCGGCATTCTGAATACCGATATTGTAAAATCCGAATATCCGTATCAACCTCCTAAACAAGTTTGTCGTCTGGAGGATTATTTTATCAACTACCGCATCGGCGACCGAAAAACAGGCGTATGTAACACAACACACAAGCAAACTGTAAGACTTAGGATTACAAAGAATCCTTCAGCCTGACCTTCTATAGTAGCTATAAGCCAAGGCAATGGTCGCTGTAGCTCCAACCACAGCTGCTGCCGTAAGAACGTCACGTTGCTCCCATGATTCTACCCAGCTTCTCAGTTTGCACAACCCAGTCTTTCCGGGCACTTCTCTCAGTTCTTCACTTGGTTCCGAGCTAGCAGTCATGACTCATGCAACAGGTAAACCTGTTAGCACTCTGACAACAACCACCCACATTTTCTGTTGTCTTCTAAGCAGTAGTTTCTTCATGCTTCTCATTTTGCTTCGCTTCGGTCCCATTTGGAAGCTTCTGTTCGCCTCCTTCAGTAGAATCCCCCATTTTACCCCTGTAGATGTTGACATAGAAAGGAATAACTGAAAGGTTAATAGAGAATATGTGAAGACATGGGGCTTCTTACCAGCAAAGCACACTACAAAGTAAACAAGCACAGCCTTTGTTGTGAACAAGTTAAGACAATCAATGACAGCAGCAGTAATAGTAACCTATGAACTCTTCCAGTGAATACTGAATAGATTCCAATATTCTGCAATTTAATTATGTAGTGACATAGATTCCAAAAATGATGAATGTACCGAAAAATAGAACCAATTGGAATACCACAAATTCGACCAACTTAAGCAATGCATAGATGAAATACAAAAACCTCCAAAGGCGTTCTATTATTTCTCCCTTTGCAATTTGCTGATCCAGCAATTCAGGTATATCATCAGGAGTAACATAGCCATACCTAAACCATTCGGGGGAAAGACCCAATAATATCAAAATCCATTAAATGCCATAGAAGCATAATGACACAATGATGCCAACACTACCAGTTGCCCATAATCTTTCCCTCGGAATCTAGGCTGAAGATAATCAAGTTCCCAGCATACTTGTGCCCTCCAATGTGAGTTGAGAGCAAGCACTTACAAACACCTGGCCCTTCAGTCCTCGCAACTCAATCTCCCTGTTCACAAGAACATCCTCAACGAAGGCATCCACATTGAAGTCCGTCAAACCCCTTCCACCAATATAATTAAAGAGCCTCAGCACAAAATCCCATCACTCATAATCTTAGCATTCTCTCATTCTTTTTCAAACAAAGGCAAAAAAATCCAATCTCAATCCAACAAATAAACATAAGAAAATAGTAAATAAACAAAACACATGCTAATCCTCATCATAGCTACAAATTTACAATTACAGAAGGATGATAACATTCAACTCCGCAATCAGCTTCGAGTTTTTGACACATGTCCATCAAACCAGGTATAAATCATAATTCAGCAAACGTTAATTTCCTGGTTTAAGTTAGATAACGACACGGAAAATGTTTTAAAAAAGTACTTCTATATATATGTATGTATGTATGTATCTATATTTATATGCATATGCGTGTAAATATAAAGCAGATTTTTACTGGACGGTCAGCATATGAAGAAAAACAATCAGATTCATACTCGATAGTTTACCAAATGTAAAGCTCAAATCCTTCTTATTCTTCTTTTACAACAGCAGACCATGTAAAAGGAAATTGAACAAAATTTAGAAAGAAATTGGTTCGAAAAAGGAAAAGGAAAGCTTACTTGTATTTGATCATCTCAGGAAAAATCAGCACATTGCCGTCAGATTCTGCTCCGTCAATAACCGTCAACAGTGTCTATATTGAAAGAAAAAATAGAGAAAACTACGATTAATAGAAATTTTGAAACCTCAAAAGCAAACGACAGTTGACCGAAACGACAGGAACGCGACTTGAAGGGGTTGTCGTTTTTGCGAGACTTAAGAGCGGAGGAGAGAAGATTAGGGAGGCCATCCTCTTCGGCACGGGAAGCCCAATCGGTATAAGACTTGTGGCGGAGGAACAAGTGGCGGTCGTATGGCTTGACGGTGCCGGCGAGGTTAGTGGAGTTAATCTCATCGCGCGTGAAGCAGAACTTCGCCTCGTCTTACGGCAGAAATAGTAGAGAAGTTGCTAGAATCTATCATTGGAGAAGAAGAAGAAACGTTGTGGATATGTAGGTTGAGAGAGCGGGCAATGCCGGTGAGGAGAGATTTCAAAGCAAATGGAAATGGAGCGTGTAAATACGCGCGAGTGGAAATTGAAGCAGATGGGCGGCTCCTTTTATTATTATATTTCAAGTTAAATTAAGATACACTACAATATTTAGTACTTAAACTGTTGTTTTTATTTCGTTTTAGTACATAAATTTTATTGTCTTTTAAAATTATACATAATGTTTAGTTTAGGTTTAATTTTGGTATCCGACGTTAAATACTTAACGGTGTGTTGACGTGTCAACAAAAGGTAATGTAATGTCATCATTATTTTTTCTTTAAAAATATCACGCCAACAGTTCTATTAATTTTCAACGTCAGATATCAAATTGAAATATAAATTAAACGTTACGTATGATTAAAATAAATAAAATTTTATTATCAAAACAAAATAATAATAATAATTTAGATATTAAATGTGTATTTTACTGTCATAGACTGTACGACTCATGGACTCAGCGGTCGGAACTTACTATGTTAGGCTTGTTTACCTAGTGAAAAATGAGCTTGATTCGCATGCTCGGTTCAAATTTACAATTTCAATTACTAATGAAAAGAAAGTTGAATTAAGTTTGCAAACTAGTAGAGTCAAACATTAAGATACTTGAATTCAACTCTCTTAACAGCTCAAACTGTACGTGCTTGATCTCGACTTACAATAACAAAGCCCGATTATTCGAAACGGAATGATTTGCTAGCACGAGTGTCACATTTACACGCCATTCATCTTCTAAATAGTTACAATAATAAAAATAAATCCCATCTCTAAATACTTACCCCAAGGCTTCACATCTAAACCAGGAACCTTATCGTTCATAGGTACCTTTGGAATGTCGGTTTGGGCGGCTGAAAAGTCCATCATTGCTTGCTTATGCACTTCAGGAGGATTCGCACAACGAATGAGTGCCCAGTTTACGCTCTGAAAGAATGGATGTTGTTTAATTTCAGTAGCACCACGTCTACACGCGAGCCAAAGCAGTGGATCAAGTCCCTAGCAGCAAAGCTCACATTAGGATACTCTGGGAATCTCAATGGCTGGCCAACAACATTGAAGAGTGTTGCTAGCCTGTTCCCAGACCCTTTAAATGGTGTTTTACCGAACAAAAGTTCATAGAAAGATCCCGAATGGCCACCAATCTACAGCACTTCCATGGCCTTCACCTTTAATGATCTCGGGTGCCAAGTACTAGTGAGTGCCGACGAACGACATCAACCGAGCATTGGTAGGTTCTGCAATGAGCTCAGGGAGAGGATTAACTTGATCTTTTCGCTCTTTACTTTTCTTGTCTTTCTTTGCCTTGCTTGGAAAAAACGGGTCCAAAACATGCAGGTTGGATACAATCAGGCTGCATCACACAAGTTGGTTCAATGCATGTAGGCTGAGCATAGTATGCCGAATTTTTCGATTCCAGGTATGAGTTTGAAGATTTAACGAGAGTCGGAGAGACGGAACATCGAAGAGAGAGGTCAAAATCCGAGAGCATTATGTGACCATCTTCTCTTGCCAAAACATGCTGAGGCTTAAGGTCTCTGTAAATGATCCCAAGCATGTGAAGATACTCCAGAGCAAGGAGAACTTCTGCCGCATAAAATCTGCAGAGAAATATAGAAAGATGAAAGCAGATTACAATAAGTAGTAAACTACTAGGCTTTAATCTCTATCACTGTAATCTATTTATTCAGACATCGCTATCATCCGATATTCCCAATAACACAGAGTAATTCAAACTGCAAAACTGTAAGAAGTAAGAACCAAATAGGGACAAGAACATCAATAATTGAATTAACAATACGTTGATCAGGGATCCGCAAATCAACTCCGATAAGACATTGTTGACAAGAATGATGATAATGTGACGGATTTGGAGATGAATTACGAGCAAATAGACACCAGTTATTCCATTTTCAGACAATAAATGATTTCGGGTTCAATTTCTAAAACTTTGATCTCTGTCTAATAAAATTGATTGATGGATATACTGTTTGTCTTATCAAAAGAATACTTCTTTTGTATTTTCAAACAAACAGCCTGAACTTCTCAAATCAAAAAGAATCCTAAATTCAAGTGATAATTTTGTCCTGTATAATTTATGAATGTTAAAGAAAATTTTCAGAATATCCGAATTGATAAAATGATAAAAAAAACGATACGACAAATTTATTGACATGTAGAGTGATCGTAAAACTCATCGATAGATGATGACTTTCGACAATAATTAATGATGATCATAAATTCAAATTCATGGAAAATATAATAAATTAAAAAACTATTTTTAGTTTCTTTGTTAATATTAAATTGTGTGATATGTAGAGTGATCGTAAAAATCATTGATAAATAATGACTTTTGATAATAATTAAAAATGATCGTATACTTAAATTCATGAAAAATATAATAAATTAAAAACTATTTTTATTTTCTATGTTAATATCAAACTGTTACATCATTTGAATGTCAATATTAAACTGACATTATTTAAATATCAATATTAAACTGTTACATCATTTAAATGTCAAAGAGTTAGTAATCAAACGATAAAAAGTTATTGTAAAACATTAGTGTTTAAATTAAAATATGTTAAAATTTAATAATTAAAAAAATTATTGCTAAAATTTTAAATTTTAAAATTTAATAACTAAATTAATACAAAAACTACAGTTCAAATTTACTCTATAATAAAATGTTTAAAATGTAAAAAAATATAAAGTTCATATTACGTTTAAGAAAATTTATTATTTACCTTCAAGAATAAAATTGGTTCTCAAAATCATTAAAAAAAAGTATAGAGAAAGTTATACACTAATTCATAGTTTTTTTTCTTGGAAATTAGTCTCACAGCTTGGAAAGTTTGCATTCTAATGTCAATAAAAGAAAAGATAAAATCAGACCACTTAGCTCTCACAGTTCAGCTTTAAATTAAATTTTTGAGAGTAAAGTGGACGATCAAATCCTTGAATTTTGAAATCTAAACATGACAAAACTTCCGTAGAAAGAACTTCCACCTACACCACCACCACCACCGTAGCCGCCGCCAAGACCACTATCATAGCTACTACCATACCCACCACCAGCAGCTCCAGCACCATATCCCCCGTAAAACTCACCAGAGCCTCCGTAGCCACTTCCCATGCCGTATCCTCTGTTAAAATTTCCTCCATAACGACCCGAGTATCCAAGGGATGGCTCTCCGCTGTAAGGCCCTACACCACCAGTGCCAGCACCACCATAACCTCCATAACCACCAAAATCACCTCCACCATATGCCCCATAACCTCCAGCTCGTCCCCCATAAGCACCACTTGATCTATTGTAACCACCACTACCAAATCCACCACCTCCATATCTACCATAGCCATCTCCGAACCCGCCACCATATGCATTCCTAGAATCATTATGTCGCTTAGATAGAGGTGGGGGTGGGTTCGGTTTTTTCGGCTCTGCCCTTTTTATCTCCACCTACCAGCAAAGGGACACATCATGAGACTCAGTTTAGTGTTTCTAAAATTTTAACATAACATAATGGATACTCTAAATTCACCTCACTCGGGTAAAAAGAACTACAGCTAATATAATTAAGGATTGAAAGTAAAGGCTCGTCAAAGCAAAATGGTACGCATTCATGGAAATGCATAGCCCATAAAAACGATAAGGTATTTCACGAAACATCAATTCCACGGGCAATCTACATACCTGAGCACCGGCAAAGTCGATCTTGTTTCCCTTCTCCAAGAGATCATCAACCGCTTGTTCCGTTTCAAAAGTGATGAACCCAAAACCACGGGAACGATTGGTAGCATGATCCCGCATGATTTGGTGTTCTCTGACTTCTCCATATTGTGTAAAGAAGTCCTTGAACTCATCTGTCAATTTGCACCAAATAGATTAATATTTATGAGAAATATCTACAATGAATCAAGGCATTCCCGACAAATGGCATCAAGCTTCAATGTTATATGCATTAAAGAAAGGAAAATACTGGTATCACCTTCGGATACAGTTGAAGGAATTCCACCTACAAAAATCTTCCTAGTCTTGAAATCTTTACTTCCGGCGGCTCCTTTTGGTATTGTTCTCTTAATCTCTACCTAATAGGCCAGGAATCGAGCCAAAGAACAGTACTTCAAGTAAAAAACAAAGCAGCATACACCAGACTAGAGTAAGAAAACATAACAATAAACAAAACATTGAGACTAAAGCGAATCTTACTTGTTTCCCATTAATAACATGAGTGTCCTCGATTACTTTATCAACCACAGAAGGCTCTGCATAAGTCACAAACCCGAACCCACGAGGCTGTCCCGTTTTCCGGTCCTTCATTATCACAGAATCCGTAATTTCACCATATTTGCCAAAATGCTCAAGAAATTGTGCTGCAGAAAATACATAAAACAGCCCAAATCGGTACAGACTACAGGAGAAGCAATTCATGCTATAATCATATTCAAGGAGATTAATAAATATCTCCAACAAACAAGCTAAAGAACTAACCAGAACTTGTCTCTCTCGCTAAACCTCCTACAAAAATTTTGCTGCAAATTTCCAAATATCGAATATGAATCATAAATCACTTCCAAAGTATTCATGCTAAAAGGGACCTTTCAAAGAAACAAATACCTCTAAACATATCAATATAATCCTACATAAGTCTAACTAAAAAGAGAAAAGAACCTAATTCCTCTTCTTTCATTTTTATTTTAAAATGACAAATACCAAACATTTTACCAAAAAAAAAGTATTTCTATTTCACTTAATTTAGCGTATATTTTCCAAGTCATTAACTAAAAGGTAAAGGAAAAAGGCGCAAGTTTTCTCATTACCTTTTTTCTATCATTTCCTCAGGAAACCAAGTAAATCTAAAAGTACACACACACACATATATATATATATATGTACAAATAACGAGTCAATTTACGTGTTTCACGTGTAATTAAACAATGGGTAATAGATAATTTCAATATTTTCCTTGACTTCCCCACCCCCAAAAATTTTCTCAAGAAACAAACAGAAAGGAAAGATGTTTACCCAGGACTGGCGCCATCGCCAGTGTGAGGATTAGACTTGTCGTCTTCGGGATTGTCAGAGGATCTAAAATGGTTGGTTTCGGCGTCGGGAAGGGGTTCACCGCCTCGAGGGTCCATCGGCAGAATGGGGAAAGAAGGAAAGAAGGAAAGAAAGCGTAACCCTAGTAATGTGTTGTTTTGTAGTTTCAAAGCTTTTGAAAGCTTGAAGTTAAAATAAAACCCGTTAAATAGCAAACCACCGACAGTTATTATTAGCTAAACAAAGACAATGTTGTGTAAGAACGTTGTTTAATGTTTAGGTTCAATTACATCACAGGTGACCCGTTTATTAGTAAAATTATAAATAAGGAATTTAATTTTATAAAGTTACATAAAAGTCAACTAATCATATGTTATAAAGTGTTGTTGGGAAATATTTTTAATGATTTTCTTATTGCACTTCACGTCATTGAATCATTAATAAGGTTACAAATAACTCATTCAATTATTAGTAAGATTAAAAAAATCATTTTAATTTTAAAAAATCACAAACAAGACACTCAATTAATCAAAAAAGACAATTCATTTTAGATTTTGGGCTTCTCAAAGATGGTATATTAGACAATATAAACAATGGAGAGACTATCATTAGTGAAATGAAGAATATATCTAGAAACAAAGAACAAGTGGTCGATATTGATTAAGGTTTAAGAAGTTTGACAGTTTTGGAATATATTCTTGGGAATCTATTCCAATGAGTTGCACAAGAAGATCAAGGTGGATCTTATAATGAAATTTGAGGTTCATATGTCATTCTATACGATACTCGATGTAGTTGATGCAATGACACATGATTTAATTATTATAAACTTGTAATTAAGTGACTTGATTGTAACTCGCTAAAATTTAATTTTTAATTAATAAAATATTCTACATTAGAGAATAATATAATATGAACTTCTAATGACATTTGTAACAATCAATTAATTTAATGAGTCGTTTATAACTTTTAAAATTAAGTGATATATTTATAATTTTTAGAGTGTATTTAGTGACTCATTTATTCATTTTACACTCGTTAATTCCTTGTCCTTTTACACCCAAACTCATGGCCCGTTTTAATTTTTAAACCCAACATATCAAACAACTTTAAGAAATCCTAGAGAACCGAGACCAAGCCAACGCCAACAGGATATCCACACATGTATCATACGGCTCATTCGGCTCCTCCACGCACCCATCACATGTCGACGCTCTAGTATCTCCTCGCTCCGATGCCGATCATTTTTATAGATATTATATAGGGGTGAATTCGGTTCGATTTTTTATTAAAATTTGAACCGAATCGAAATAAACGATTTTTTAAAATTTAAAATAAAACTGAAATTAAAACCGAAATCGAATGGTTAAAAAATCGAAATATTTGAAATTGGTTTTTTCAGTTCGGCAATTCGATTTTTCATAAACCAAAAACATTATTAGACATACTTAAAAAAATCATTGTCTTCTTTGATTTTCAATGAAAATTTCACTTTAAACTATAAATTCAAAAAAAAAAACTTTGCAGATGCTGAAAACACATACAATTCACATATATATAATCTTGGTAAACACATATATAATCCATACAAAAACTATAATCCACACAAAAACTATAATCCACATTGTTATGGATGATCCACATTCCACATATATAATCCATACAAAAACTATAATCCACATATTGTTTGCAGTTCGGTTCACACAACAAATTAAACAACCAAGTCAAAGTGTAATTCAACTATCAAAATTAAATAGAAAGTTACTTAAAACTATAATCATCCATGCATGAAAGAACAACCAGCAGCCTCTAGCTTTTCATTTGCAGCTGTTGAAAACTTTTAAGCCTTCAAGTTTAACTTTACAGTCAGCTCTCTATCACCCAGCCTTCGATCTATATTATACGGATAAGATTATCATACAAAATTTAAATCATAATTACATTTGAATTGAAATATATTTAAATTTAAACTAATATTTAATATTATCAAAACATATTTTAATATCACAAACAAAAACAGTATTTAAATATTATCATGTCATAAGCTTTATAACATTAAATCATAGAAATTTCAATCGGTTTTGTTTCAAATATTATCATGTCATAAGCTTTATAAAATTAAATCATAGAAATTACTGTTGTAAGTGTTCCATCTTCGATCAATCATCAATGGTCATCATTGTTTCATTTAACCTTAAATCTTCGAAACCTATTAAAAGTCAAAAAATATTTAGAAGTAAGAATATTTACATAAATGAGTCAAAAAATATATTTACAATTGTTTATATAATTATTATTTACCACTCTCAATGTTCTCCATTTCTTCAATTTGTTCCTTTTTTTTGGATTGCTACAGGTGATGCTCTCAGCCAATTTTGTCCACAAATGAGACACTCAACAATTTTTGGAGTTAAAGAACTCCGAAATGAGTCAAGAACACGACCTCCAGTGCTGAAAGCAGATTCCGAAGCCACTGTAGATACAGAAATTGCCAAAATATCTCGAGCCATTACAGAAATTATGGGATAGGTTTGACTTTTGTTCTTCCACCAATCAAGCAAATCAAATTTCTTAACATCAGGTTCTACTTTGTCCTCCAAATACTTTTCAAGTTCAGATTTTCCTTCACTAAACACACTTTCAGCCCTCTTCCTTTTGTACTTGGTCTTGGAATAAACAAACAAATCAAGTAGCTCATCATTTTCAACCCTAGATAGGGGTGTTCAAAATTCGGTTTTAACCGAATTAATCGACCGAACCGAATTTGTTCGGTTAATTCGGTCGGCCACCGAATTAATTCGGTCAGGGAACGGTTAAGGATTTTTTTGGAATTCGATTAACGGTTAATTCGGTTCGAAATCGGTTAATAATCGAATTAACCTTTAAATATAATTATATTAAGAGGCCTAATCCATTTAAAATCCATTTAAAACCCAAATCAATATTAATTAATTAAAATAATATCAAAACTAAATGCAAAATGTTTGAATCAAATTAATTAGATATTATTTATAATTAGATATTATTTAAATTAATTGTAAATTGTTTTTTAATTAAAAAATATTAAATTCTAAAATTCTATAAAAAATCGGTTAATTCGAAAATTAACCGAATTAACCAAAATTTATTCGGTTCGGTTAATATTTTCGAAAAAAAGTTTGGCTCGGTTAACGGTTAAAGAAAAAAAATTTGGTTAATTCGAAAATGGTAGTTCGGTCGGTTCGGCCACCGAATTAACCGAATGAACACCCCTAACTCTAGAGACATTAGATTGAGAAACAACACTTGGTTCCTCTTGGGATTTACCACTTAACAAACTATAATGATCAAACAACTCACTTAAAGTTTGTTTTACAATTTCACTCAACTGCTCAGCTTTCACAGCATCGTAAACTTCTTCAATCACAAAGATTACATAATCCATCTTATGTCTAGGATCTAAAATCATAGAAATGAATAAGAGTGGATTAAGATTTTTCACATTCCCCCAATACTTGTGATATTTTTCCCTCATATTTGAAGCCATAAGTTTTATACTTGAGTTTAGATCATTTAGCTTATCATTAATTCTCATTCTAATGCCAAACACAACATGAAAATAATAATTGCTATTAACATATGAAGAACCGAACAACTTCAATGTATATCATAAAAGGCTCTTAAAAATGGCAATAAAGCACGAGCATGCTCCCAATCTAAGTCAGTAGGTAGACCCTTCATTTTTTTAACTTGAAAGCTCATCTCTATACTTAAAATCCTGCTCCCAACTTGTCAAAAGCTGTTTCGAATTTCACAGCAACATCTAGCATTAAAAATGTTGAATTCCATCTAGTTCCAACATCCAAGAAAACTAAACTCTTGCTCTCAATTTTTTCTTGCTCAACACACAACTTAAACCTTTGCATCCTAGCTGGTGATAGCCTAACATATCTAACAGCCGAACGAATTCTAGAAATTGAGTCATCCAAATCTTTCAAACCTTCTCTGACAATTAGATTTAATATGTGTGCACAACACCTCATGTGAAGGTAATCACTTCCTAAAATGCTATGTTTCCAATTGTTTAGCCTTTTTTTATATACTTGATCGCAACATCATTGGAGCTAGCATTATCTACTGTGATTCTGAGCACCTTATCTATTCCCCACTCAAGCAAGTGTTTTTCAATGCATTTCCCTATCACATCACCCGAATGACTTGGAATGGGTGTAAAATTTAAGATTCGTTTATGTAATTTCTATTCATCATTAACAAAATGAACAATGAGACACAAATAACTAAGGTTTTGCCTAGAAGTTCATATGTCAGTAGTGAGATAAACCCTTTGATTGAAATTCTTAAAATACTTAAAAAGTTTATCTTTTTCTTCCAAGTAAATTTCCATGCAATCCTTTGTTATAGTGAACCTAGAGGGAACTTGGAATCTAGGCTACATCATATTGCAAAAATCTTGAAATCCCTCATGCTCAACAACTCTAAAAGGCAATTCATCCATGATAATTATCCTAGCACAATATTTTCTACATTGTGTTTGGTCAAATTTCCAAATAACTGAACCTGAACTTTGTTGCACATCCTCTTATAATTTAAAACACAAAATTTGTTGTTTTTCATCTACCTTGTTAAATGGGTACTTAGGACAACGTTTCAAATGATTATGCATGACACTAGTTCCACTTTTAGTTGGACATTTAAGGGCCCACAATAATTACAGCTACATTGTGGAATATCTCCAACTACACAAGGTAATTTTGTAAAATGTTCCCAAACTATATAACTTGTAGTACCTAACATGCCTCATGTTTTTATTAAAGGTTGCTGAAGATTCGATGGGATGATTGAAGAAGCTGCAGTCGATTGATAAGTTTTGACAACATCATTTGAATTATTTGTAGTATCACAAGGAATCTCAACATCAACGCAAAACATTGGAGTAACATTAGATGATGAAGATTTCATTTTCTGCAGAAAAAAATAGTTTACAATGACAAGAAAATATTGAAAAATGAGAAAGTTGAAGCAAATAGAGGAAGTTGAATCAAAACATGAATTTCTAAAAAAAGAAAATCATAAATTTAGTTATTAATATTCTGGTTTAGATTTAATGTAATGCAATTTTATACAATTATATATTAATAATGAGTTAAATTATATTATTTAAAATGATAGATATAAGTAATATTATTTTTAATTAAACTATGTGAATTATTAATAAATTTGTAATCATGGGACTGGTAAGTGAGCAATCTAAAGAAGTTCTATCTATGGCCCCCAATCTGATAGAATAGACCCGTGACTTTTCACTTCATGTTTGAAACAATTAAATTCAATATCAGTTTTAGCATGTTTTCTTAAATTATCCACATTCTTTGTAAGAACTTAACATGTCATGTGTCACTGGGTTCATTAAGCTACAAGAAGTTTGACATAGAGATCAAATTGAGATAAGAAGGAATGAGACTAGGTTGCATAAGGACTGGAAAATGGTAGTACCACATCTAGCAACATCTCTTTATCAATCCAGCTGGTGGTTTTTTATTTGGTTTGAAGAAAATATTATTAATATGAAAAGGTTTTTAATATGTAGTCAGAATGTTTGCCAGCTAAAGATAACGACATTTTTATCCTATAAAATCTTAGACAAACACCACGCAGTGACAATTTTAAACTATTAATTCCAGCGTTGAGGCACTATCCAAGACACAATGGTGTGGTGGGAGATGTCAAAATTTCATTATTACAACAAATATCTAACGAACAAACATTGGGTTGAGTACATGATCAAGCCAATACCATCACACGGTAATAGAAAAGTAAGCACACTTGAACATCTCATCAGAACGCTCAATCACACTGATCTAACAAGGGTAGTTAAAAATAAAGAAAGGAAAACAGATCCAAGCATGAGAGAGAGTAAAGATGTAACCTTGATTTAGCATAGTTCTTCAACCAATGAAAATAACATTTTGATTTCATACAAAAAATTCATAATTGATATGCAAAATGCAAGATAAGAAAATAGTAAAAATCAAAGCAATACAATCTCGAATAAGTAGAATTAACAAGGATAGAAGCGGGGAAAACAACTATCATGACCTACAAACATTGAAACCCACAAAAAACCCTAAATTCACATCCCAAAATTAACAGAAAAAAATTCAAATTATTTACCTTATGAAATCACGTTCAAGATGCCAAGATAAAGGGAAAGAGATGAAGCTCTGTCGAATCATTGCAGTTGAAGACTTGAAGCTCTGTCGAATCGTTGCAGAAATGAAAATTGTGGAGACTGGGGAGAGTGGAGATTGGAAAATCAATAACGGCTGAGTGACGGGTTTGAGAAGAGTGGAGAAAATATTGCTACTTAGATTTAGGGTTTTTTTGTATTATCTCTTAATCGCTTATGGGTAAGGCCGTAAGGGTAAGTGTCTAAGTGGGTAACTATTAACATCCCAAATCAGGGTCAGTGACTAAATTACAAATTTTGAAAACTATGTGCTTGATTTCAAAACAAGTTAAAAGTTCAATAACTTAAATATGAATAATTCCTTATTGGATTAGATGGTAATTATGGAAATTTTGAAGGGTATAATAGTAATTTCACAAGAAAAATTTTTGTTATTCCTTTATATAGGATATAACACGTGGTAATGTAGAGAGACAAAGTTCCAGTTTCCAAAGTTCTCTTCTTCCCCTTTCTTCTTCACGTATGGAAGCCAATAGCAAAGGTAAGATTTCTTGTTGGTTTATATTTAGCTGAAATTAGGATTTGGTTATGATAATTGGATGATAATTAAGCTTAAGGAATGCTTAAATCATCTTAAAAACAAAGGATGGTGGAATTAGGAGATATTAAAGATTAAGAGTTTTCGAATGATCTGGAATAGAGTTCTTTACTCAAATTGGAAGATAAATTTGACTTGTCAATGGTTAAATTAAGAGATTTGGAGTGATAGAATTGGATTTAGAACATATAGAAAATTTGGTATGATTCTTGAATGATATGTGGAGGAGTGAATTTTTAAGTTAAAGAGGTATTGAATGAAAATTAATTAGTTTTAAGTATGTATATGAAAGTTAGGAATATTAAAGGAGTGAAATAAGAAGTGTTGAGCTGAAAATGAAGTGATTTTTGAGCTCAACATATGATTTCTCGGCTAGGGGATTCGGTACCCATTCAAGGGGAACCGATACCCCCTCAAATGAACCAGAATTACAGAATATCATGGGGGAACCGATACCCCCACAGTAGGGAACCGATTCCCCCTAAAGGAAAAAATGAATATTGGTTTATTAAGTTCGTTTAAGTTATTAGTATCGAATTACAAGATGTAGGTATCTAATAATTGTCTTAAATTGTATAATTAATATGAGTGTATGTGCTATTTGTGATTATATATATTACATGATTTGTATGTGTGTATGACTATATAATGGTGATACAAACCTATAGGATAAGCACTATAAAAACTATGATATAAAAGTTATAAAATGAAGAACTATAAAATCCCTATGAGAATGATTATATGAGTTATATGGAACGGAATTAAATAAATAGAATAATCTAGTATTTAAATATTATAAGATAAATGATATAAGTCATATGTTATTGTAAATGTTAGTGTTATAAATCATGTAAATTGGCAAAAGGGGAAATGAGATAAGATAAGTAGCAATTACCTATAAGATTCAAATAAGATTATTTGAATATGTAGTGTAAACTATATATGGGTAACTTAGATATTATACAATTTAAGCATGGAATGGACATAAGATATAGTCAGGTGAAATTATTATGTGATATGAGTATATGAATATGTTAGAGAAGTAATATAGGAAGGTCGATATGTTAAATGAAACTATAATCTAAAACTATTAGGTTTTTTTATATGATATGAAATATAGTACCAAAGTACTTGAAATCATGTGAGGATGTTATATGAATTAGAAATATAAATTATATGGCATTAATGTATTAATTATAGGAAAAAAGAGTACATGATGTTGTAATAAATTATAGAAATTGGTGTAATGAAATTATAAAAATAAGTGAAAGAACAAAATGAGTTAAGCGACAATAACCTAAACTATATTATGAATTAGTGGTATATGAATATGATATAGAATATGTAATAAGAATCTATGTGTTAAATGATAAATATGAACTCATTAGAACAAAAGATAAGATATTTGACTATGAGTATTGAATACGTATCTATGTGATATGACCTATGAGATCATATGAAATATTATATGACTATGTGATTATATGAAAAAGAATACAATTATATGTGATAAGCTCTGTGATATGTGAATCATATGAAAATGTTCTATGCGTAAGTGAACCATATGTATATATTATATGTGGTATGTGATTTATATGACAATGAGCTATGTGAAAGAACTATGAGAATATGTTTATGT